TGTTTACTAACACGACTACCATTTGTGTAGATTACCTTTAAAATGTTCGAATAGGCAACAAAATTTGACAGATCGAGAGTAAATGTAGATTTAATCCAGATTTACCAATCGAAAACGCCATTAAAGTGCTTATAAAAAAGTTTCCTTTTTTCATAAATAGTATTTTTCATACTATAGAAAATCAATTTCAAATACACAAAAATTGTTCAAACCCTGACTAAAAAATTATATACGGACTATTAAATCTTTAAATATTTCCAAATATCACCACTAATTATGAATATTCAAACCTAATAAACCTAACAAATCTAAAAATTGTATATGGGTTCTTAAACCGTTAAATATTTCCAAAGACCACTGTTTATTAATATTTTACAATATTTAGAACTGATTATTGATGAGCCTAAGACAGATGTAAATAAACAAATTTCTTAGAAATAAAGTTTGATCAAAATTCTATCGTATCAAAGTCCTATAGTATCATAGTTACAGATCTATCGTAGGGGAGAGTTGGAGATCTTAACGGCCTATTAAAACATAAAACAACGCATGGACACGCATATTTTTCTTCAAGTTTGGGAACAAAAAGAAGTTATTGGGTGCCAGGTAAAGACTGTATGGTGAATAACCCATCAAATCAATGTTTTAAATGCTAAAAATTCATATTTGAGCTGATGTATTGGAGTTCGTATTGTCGTGTTGGGGGATGATCTTCTTTCGATGGTTGGTTCTCTTTAATTCTTTAAAAACATCCGGCGAATAAATAGCTGTGTACCACTTTAAATTGACCATTCTATGCTGTTCAAGTGGTGCAGTTGCGACATGACCGGTTTTTCTAAAAACATATGAGTAGATTTGCTCCGTTCGTGGATAACTTTTGCGGATTCTGCTCACTTTGGAAGTCCCAAACATTGGGTCAATCAATTCTACTTTTTCAGCTAACTAAAATTGATTGAGTATTTCATCTGAACTAGGTTATAAAAAAGCACGCCCATAATTATTTAATGACATATTTGCATTAAACTATTGTAGATAATTTTAATTTCAATTGATTGTATTCGTCAATACAAATGTGCAATTTTAATTTTTTTTTTTTTTTTTTTTAATTTTAATTTTATTCCAAATTTTTTTGCAGTATTCAGTATTTGCAGTAGTTTTAATATATAATTAAATTCCTGCTTTTACCTTATTATTTCGATAAACTAAAATTTGCAACAAAATTTTCACGAACTTTGATAATTACAACGTTTTTCCGTACGCAATTAATTTGAGCTTTATGAGCTCATTTGGAATTTTAATTGAAGTTTTAAGCTTTTCAGTGAAAAAGTATAAAAATGCAAATAATTGTTTCAAAACCCAATTTTTTAGCACAAGTTGCGAATTCATTATTGCTAATAAATTATTTGCATAAAAATCGTTTTAGGCGATTTTAGTGAATAAATATTAGCAACGACTATGATTTTTCATTTAATTTGAATAAAACTTAATTAGGTTTTATGTACACAGAACGAAAATCAAATTAATTAGGTATTTTCAGTACATAAAAAATACAGTAAATAGTAAAAACTACGAACAAATATTAATATAAAATTTTAATCCTTTTTTTTATGCGTATGCGTATGGCATACAAAAAAGATTAAAATATGCATTAAAATTTAAATAAAATTGCGGTCACTTGAATGTTTTGTAATGATTATACATTTAAGGATATTTACGATTTCTATGGAAATCAAGCATTTATTATTAACCATAAATTCTGCTTTAGTACACTTTTAGAAATAATAACCTTAAATAATTGAAATGTTAAATACTCTGATGCAATCAAAGTTGAAAATCACTAATTTAATTGGCATTAAATCCATTTGAGTCAAGACTTTTGATAAATTTAAGTATTAATAAAAAATTTTAATATCAATAAAATTAATAATGAAAATAAAATACAACACATGTCCTGCGAAGCGTCGAAATTTGCTTCTTTCTAAAGTATTATATCCCATTCAAGCCAAAAATAAATAAAAAATTAAATAAAAACTCTGCCGTTTGGTTTATGAGATAATGGATATGGGTTTAACTTTGCTTATTCAGAGGGCATAGTAGTCTCTTTACTTAAACAGATAACAGCATGAGTGTGTGTCCTCAATTTACGAAAACAAATTAGACTGAAATTCGAAAATAAAATCGCATAGCAGATTTTAAATAAATTCTAAGAGCACAAGAAATGAGAGTGAAAGAAGTTAAAATATTATTAAACATTCACTAAAAAACACATTATTTTTGTTATATATTATTTATTGAAGCAATGTATGACAGCTGATATGATACTTTCCTTCAGTTAATTCAATAGAGCAGAACTAAATTACATTTTTCTAATAATACTCACCAAAAAATATCAATGTAAATTCTCTTTCTCTTGTCTGACTTAAAATACTCATAAATAACCTACAAATCACTTACTCCATATATGTAACACGTATAAATATTAATGAGTCACATACAGTAACAGTCCTGACTAGCGTAGGTACATGCACACGCTAAATATGGTGCATAAGACCACGGTGCTTTACAAACACATGTATCAAGATAATGCGTCGATAAACGCCCCATTCGAAATTCTAATGAATTTTTACTGATACCCACCATAGCTCTGCTGATCTTTGGGTCCGGAGATGAATACACAGTGATTGATAACAAATGAATACCAATCATTTTTCCAGCTTAAGAATATAGAAGAAGAGTATAGGTAGGTAAGTGTAAATACTTTTAGTTTAATGCATGAGCCAATATTTGAATATGACTCAAGTGTTGAGGACTCAGTACAGATCTCTGATGCGGATATGTTGTTATCTGTTTAAGCAGTACTACATACTTTATACAACCCTCATTTTTATTTTATCAATCACAGTTATTTGAACCGATCATTAGACTTTTAATTAACGTGAACATCTTTAACGAATTTGTATAATTCCATATATTGTAACAGTACCAAGTAACCCAGATGGATAAGTGTGTTCCTGTTTAATTTAGGGCATTTGAAGAGAATGTGTTTAAAGGTATCAATTTCCATTTCAAAAAAGCTTCATGAAAAAGGATCATTTTGTTAAAATGAGATCTTAGTCAGCAGTGTTTCTCAGGAACCTGGTCAAGAAATGAATATTTTTTCTGTTTAGTGTAAATAGTCTATTTGAAACTATCCGAAATGGGTTGATGAATCTGTTGATCTCTATCTTTGGAATTTACACTGCATTCAATACTTTTCAAATTAAAAATATTGCAAATAACTGAATACGTGTACAATATGCGCTCTCGCTTAGTTTCAATTAATTAACTTTGGGATCTTCGAAGAGAAGCCGACTTCATGTTCTTCATATCCCGGAACCTATCGTATTTTAATGCAATCGTTTTATCCCATTTTATTGATTAGTGATTAACCGGAGTTAACGTTTAGTAAATGCGTAACTCCCTTAAATTGTAGCCGTTAAGTGTTTTTCTCTGTTTTTTTCTGTTGTGCTCATTCATGTTATAATATCCTTTTCATACTACAAACTTCTTACGAAGAACTCTAAATTATGCATTCCATTCCGTATTCTTTTTCACAGTTACTTTTATCAGAAAGTTATTTGAGTTATGGGAATAATGAGGGGCAATAAAAGCAATTTTGCGATAATGTGACAATTTCTGCAATAATTTTGCAATAGCAAGTAAGTATTAAAGAAACTAACAAAAATGTTTGAATAAAAACTTGAAAGGCTTTTTAGGTCAGAAGGTTATAAGAAACAACAACAAACCCATGTAACAACAGCAAAACTTAAAAGGGTTGAGGAGTTAACGAACATTGATTCTTAGAGTCTACAGTGCATATAATAGCATTATGGTAGAAATTGCTTTAATGTCCTCTCATTTTTCCAGCTTTGACAATAAAAATGCAGTGTGAATGCACAATTAATACTCCTCAGGATAAGATTCTTTAAACACGTGCAAAATGCATTAAAAAATTTGACTATTTTAAAAACAAAATAAATTGCAAAATTATTTGCTTTTGTATCCATAAAGTTCATATAATTTTCTAATAAGTATGCCGACAATCATCTGTTTTTATTAAATACAAATGAACCTTGAAAAACCTTCACACCTTGGTGAGGAAAATAAATATTACATAAATTAAAAATTTTTTTTTATTTTACGTGTTATAGTAAGTTATTTGACGGCATGAGACAGAATATTTCAACCATTAACAACGGGATTCCATCACAAAACACTCAAAAATCCGTCTTAGATTCATGCATTGCGTACAAATGTGTGAAATAATAATCTTTAATGTACTTGAGTTTAAAGTTCTGCTCAGGACTGAATATAGTCTCTTTTGTGAACGTGTTAACGTTATTTTTATATAAGCTCTTTAAACAGTAACTGCTATCATTGATTAAAGATTCTATTAATTAATTATTAATATTGTACTAATATTCATATCTCTCAGATCTTATCAAATGGTGTTACTTCATCTCTTTCTCGGTCAGCCATTTCTTCTCGCTATTCTCACTTAACTGGTGATATGAATGTCATTAACTAGAAGATATAAGCTAAAAATAGAGAAGAATGGAGGAATGTCGTAAAACAAGCTTAGGTCCTACATGGATTATTTAGTTATGAATGATGATGATGATGATTGTATTAATATTAAACATTTTGTAAGCCTCGGAGATTATTGTCATGTATTTTTAGTCGTCCAAATTTTTTATAAGTTTCTTTGACTTCAAAATGAAATGTAATGAAAAGAAATGTATTGTATCTTGCTAACTGTTGGCAACTCTGCCAAGATGACAGTTGACAGATAAAGTAGAATTAACATTTTAATTCTGTCAGTTATTTTGAACTTGTGAAATAATAATAACTTGGAGTTTTTTTGAATAAATAAATATCTAATTATACAGATATAACAGTGGCGACGAGGATATTTTTTTTTGGAATTACATTGAAAAATATATGTACACAAAAAAAAAAAAATGAATCCACAAGAATTCCAGTTATTTTTCCAAGAAATGCAAAACCAACGTGCGAAAGACACCGAAGCAATGCGTGAACTTTTCAAGGAGTGTTTGCAAATGAAAGCAGTTCCGAAAACAGAAAAATCGGAGCAAACAATGGAGATTTTAGCATCGAGTCTAACGGAATTTGTTTATGATCCAGAAAATAACTTAACATTTGAAACGTGGTATACGAAGTATGAAGATTTGTTCTTAGTAGATGGTAGCAAACTTGATGACGCAGCGAAGGTCAGGCTTCTATTAAGAAAACTCAGTACAGCTGTGCATAATAAATATATGGACTTTATTTTGCCTAAGCATCCACGTGAATATAATTTCACTACAACAGTGGAGAAATTAAAACAACTGTTTGGACTCCAAAAGTCACAATTCAGCTTACGCTATAGCTGCTTACAGTTAACCAAATCAGATACCGACTATACTACGTACGCAGCCGAGGTTAATAAACAATGTGAAAATTTTAAATTGAATAGCCTGTCACTGGACCAGTTCAAATGTTTAATGTTCGTATTGGGGCTGAAATCGGAAGCAGACTTCGAAATAAGAACCCGAATATTGACCAAACTGGACACAGAAGCTGATACCATCAACTTGGAAAAACTTACAAACGAGTGTCAGCGTATTATTAATTTAAAATCCGACACAGCGCTGGTAGAAAATAAATCACGTGAAAATCAGGTGAATCGAGTACAAGCAAATAAGCTTAAGAACAATCACAAACCGAAAACACCATGCTGGTTTTGTGGAGCAATGCATTATGTGCGTGACTGCCCATACAAAAATTATAAATGCGAAGACTGTCACAACATAGGCCATAAAAAAGGTTATTGCAAAGCGAAAAATTTATCAAAATCAAAATGCAATAGCAACAACAAAAATAATAGCAATGGTAAAGCAAAAACATTTTCACAGCCACGATCCAACAGTATATACACAACGAACAGCATCACAGCTTCACAGCGTAAATATGTCCACGTTAAAATCAACAATGTGCGAATCAAATTGCAATTTGATACTGCATCGGACATAACTATCATTTCAAAATTTAATTTCGACAAATTAAATATTTTAAATACAATGGAAGTACAACCAGAATCTGCTAAAAGTGCAACTGGAAACTTACCATTGTACGCAAAATTTACATGTGATGTGCAGTTAAAAGACACAATTAGAACACTTACGTGCTTCGTTACAACGATCGATTTGAACGTATTCGGATTGGACTGGATAACTGCTTTTCAACTTAGCGATATGACGCTTAACGCTATTTGCAGCCAAATTTCAACAACAAAACAGGCAAGTAATGTTTCAATAAAGTCGTCAAATTGCAAATTTCTTCCGGAAAAATTATTTCCAGAACTTTTCGATAATGCTATGGGTCTTTGTAATAAAACTAAGGCACATTTAATTATTAAACCAAACTGTCAACCTGTTTTTCGACCTAAGCGCCCGGTAGCATACGCAGTTCAACATTTGGTTGAAGAAGAAATTAAGCGACTTCAAGATCTCGACATTATCGCACCCATAAATTACTCTGACTGGGCCGCACCAATCGTAGTTATCAAAAAGCCAAATGGTAGCATTCGTATTTGCGCTGATTTCTCAACTGGTCTTAACGACGCGCTTGAATCTTACAAGTATCCACTACCGCTTCCAGAGGATATTTTTGCAAAAATTAGCAATGCAACAGTATTTAGTCATATAGACCTTTCGGACGCTTTTCTCCAAATCGAAGTTGATAGCAAATCGCAAGAACTTCTCACAATAAACACGCATCTAGGTTTATTCAAATACAAGCGTATGGTTTTTGGCGTCAAAACTTTTCCGGCAATTTTCCAACAAATTATGGATAAAATGCTTGCGGGCTTAGATTGCGCAGCAGCTTACATTGACGATATCTTTGTCTCAGGTAGAAACCAACAAGAGCATGACAACAACTTACATGAAGTTCTACAACGTATTTATCAATACGGGTTTAAACTCAAGATCGCAAAATGCAATTTTTCAGTTCCTGAAATTGCTTACTTGGGATATATTGTCAGTAAAGACGGCATTCGCCCAGATCCAAAAAACATTGAAGCAATCAAGACAATGCCTGCGCCAACCAATCAATCCGAACTTAGATCACTCTTAGGTGCTATCAATTTTTATGGAAAATTCATAAATCACATGCGCAAATACCGCGGACCATTAGACGAACTACTTCAAAACAACAAGCAGTGGCAATGGACAGAACTTCATCAACGCTGTTTGGATGGTTTCAAGCAAATTTTGTCATCAGAGTTATTATTAGCGCATTACGATCCACTAAAAAACATAGTAGTCGCTGCAGATGCATCTAACTATGGGCTCGGAGCTTGCATTTTTCATGAAGCTGACGACGGTTCAATGAAAGTAATATGTCATGCGTCCAGATCACTAACGCCCACAGAAAAACAATATAGCCAAATAGAAAAAGAAGCTCTTGCGCTTATTTTCGCGGTTACGAAATTTCACAGAATGGTTTTTGGGAGAAGATTCAAACTTCAAACAGATCATAAGCCTCTTCTAGCTATATTTGGTGATAAAACGGGAATTAAGGTGCATCAAGCAAATAGACTTCAACGTTGGGCAATTAAACTGATTGCATATGACTTCGAATTAAAGTTTATTTCAACTAACAGTTTTGGGTATGCAGACGTTTTATCACGACTCATACATAACACAATCAATCCTTCAGAAGACTATGTCATCGCTGCAGTAGAGTTTGAAATTGAAAGTAAACAAATTTTACATAACTCACTTGATAAGCTGCCGCTTACCAGCAAAATGATTACTTACGAAACAGCTAAGGACAAGGTTTTAGCTAAAATTCTCGAATATGTAACTGAAGGATGGCCATCAAACTGCAACAACAGTGAGTTAAAAGCTTACTTTAACCGAAAAAACGACATATGTATAGTTGACGGATGTTTAATGTTCGGACAACGCATTATTATACCTCAAATTTTCCGAAAGCGCATTCTTAAAGAAATTCACCGAGGTCATCAAGGCATAGGTCGTACTAAAGCCATCGCGCGGAACTACGTTTATTGGTCAAATATCGATCACGATATTGAAGCAATGGTGAAAAGTTGTTCAAATTGTGCCGCAGCAGCTAAAATGCCCACAAAAACAACTTTACATCCTTGGCCAAAACCTTCTGATTCTTGGGAACGGCTGCATATTGATTATGCAGGACCAATAGATTCATACTACTATTTGGTCGTAATCGATGCGTTCTCAAAATGGCCAGAAATTATACAAACAAAATCTATAACAGCAACTCAAACAATTTCCAGCTTGAAAGAAATTTTCGCTAGATTTGGGTTACCGAAGACAATAGTTTCAGACAATGGTACTCAATTTGTGAGTCACCAATTTCAAGAGTTTTTAGCGGAAAACGGCATTAGTCATATACGAAGCAGTCCGTACTATCCCATGTCAAATGGACAAGCCGAAAGGTTTGTGGATACTTTAAAGCGAGCACTCAAAAAGTTAAATGGGAAGGGGGTAACTGCTGAAAATCTTCAAACATTTCTACAAGTTTACCGATCTACTCCGAATAAGCAAAATGAGGACAGTAAATCGCCAGCTGAAGTTTTACTAAAAAGAAATATCCGTATTAAACTTGATTTGATTAAACCAACGCTGGTGTCAGACCCAAATGCCAAGTTTAAATACAAGTGCGATACACAACTTAAAATGAAAGCGCAATTTGACAAAAGGCACGGTGCAAAGCCAAAGTTTTACGAAAAACAAGAGCTCGTTTATGTCAATATATTCAAAAACAAACACTTTGAATGGACAAAAGGTAAAATAATCGAACGCATAGGTAACGTCATTTATAATGTTCGCTTACAAAATGGCAAACTTATTCGTGCACATGCCAATCAAATTCGTGACCGTAAAGATCAAGAAAATGAGTTATCTTTAGAAATATGTACTTCCGAAGATATCGCCAACGAAAAGTGTTTAGTTGATGCATTTGGCCTCTACGAAACAACACCTAAAGATGTGGTCGAAATAACTAACAACAACATGGTTTCGACTCCAGATCAATCTTTCAACGAAGTAACCGAGATTGCAATCCCTCAAACTGAGAAGCACAATGAGGCAGTTGTTCCGTATACCCGACCAAGGCGTACTAGACATCCTGTTGACCGTTATAGACCCTAGAATCACCGCATTGGAGATTTAATCTCAAAAGGGGAGGTGTTGGCAACTCTGCCAAGATGACAGTTGACAGATAAAGTAGAATTAACATTTTAATTCTGTCAGTTATTTTGAACTTGTGAAATAATAATAACTTGGAGTTTTTTTGAATAAATAAATATCTAATTATACAGATATAACACTAACAAATACTGTAATTACCAAAAAATGTATCTATACTATCTTTTATTTGTACAGTTAAGCATTGGTTCCAGAGTTTATAGAGTTCAGAATATATTGATTATCTTATAGTTATTAAAACTTTGATTGATCAAATTTAATTTTAATCAGTTTTCTTAAATCTTTGGTTTTCTTAATTAAACCCGAATCGCACATATCTTCACAAATATGTGAGGTTAGATTATACCGGTGTCCAAAGAATCCACTTAGGCTCATTATGTTACCATTCAAGAAACCAGAGGTTTAAAAATCACCTTGAACTTTAATATGCTCTTTGGAAGGAGGCCCTCCCTATTCAAAGGAGTTTAAAGTTAACTCTTATAAATACTAGTGGTTTTGCAACCCGAAGTGTGAAATACAGTGACTATAACAAAAGTTCTGAAATATGGTTTTAAATGTAATTTTAATTACCATGTAAAGCTACAAGGAGACTTTCATTTTAATATTCATTTATAAATTAGGATATTGTCAAATTTGTAGTTTCCGTTAATGCACACTACGTTTTTTAATATCGACTTAATTGATTAACTTAATTTGTAATTTCCGTTAATCCACACTACATTTCGTTTAGATCGACTTAATTAATTAACATTTCTATATATATGACTGACTATTCCTAAAAAATAAATTATTTTTACCTTTTCGATAATAAAAACTAGATAATAAATTTATAAAAGTTAAAATGTTTTATATTTTTTGGCTAGAGGTTAAACATAAAATGTTATATCACTATATTAGATATTACTATATTTCAGTTCCTCTAAAAGTATTTAATAGCTATTTTTCTATACGTATATATGGAATACTTATGTACAACGTTAACTTCAGCTTTTGGTATCACTAAAATGTGAATGCTATGTATATAGCACTACGACGAAATGAAAAAGAGTTCAAATTACGATTGATTTATTATAGGCTCTTAAATGAAATTAATTAGAATTCGGTATCATTAACGATGACGAAAAGTGCAAAAATGGCGTTTCCAATGATATACTGATATTAACTTTTGTTTGCTGGAATTTAAATTAATTATTTGGCAATATTTATAGCGATACATTCATCTAAAGTTGCAGACAGAAGGCAACAGAGTGTCAGTATTAAATTATGTTTAGCGAAGAGGCTACTGCACCATCTTGGCCATTAGAAGAGCTCAATTCATACATTATACGAGTAGCGAGTAATGCATACATAGGAGCGAGTAGAGCTAAATTAATGTTCAAAATTTTGTGCAAGTTGCAAGCTGACGTGTTACGAGGTTCAACAAACATTGCCAAATGTTTAACTTGTACTCTGAAATCCTGTGCAGTTGTGCACAATTAATTATGGTTTAGGCTCAACTAATGCTCTGGCCCCGAACACCCGCAAAATTACACATGTAAAATGTAATAATTTTATGAGCACACACTAAAATCCATGTCCTTTCCCCGAGTGTGTGCGCCTAAAATTTGGCTTTTTGAATGCATGGCGCTAAGCGCCACTTTAGACGCCTTTTATCTCACTAAATTTAGTACTTCTAATTACAATATTTTGCGCTTATTTATCATCCTTGAAAGGAAAATGTATTTATGCTCAGACAGATAAACAGTATCTTTACTTAATTGTACACACAAAAAGTTATACGTAAAGTGCGACTCTAGCTTTTTGTCTGCATTACATCCGTTTATGTTCATTGGTTTCGTTGCTTTCATTTGCCAAAGGAACAAGTAATAAAGATACGAGATACAATGCAATACAATACATAATGAAATCGAATGGAATGGAGTCGAGTAGAGCACAGTTGCACTGAGTAGAACGTAGTAGTGTAGAGATGAAGGCTAACTAATAAGATAACTCGAATCGGTTGGTGTAGTACTTGTGGGAACACATTACAACATTAACGACAAATTGTCTGTGTGGAATACCTTTAAGTATACCAGTAGCATGGAACTAGGAGTACACACAATTAAACGACAAAATCTAAATAATTTATTTCGGAATGCTGCTTCGTACATTATTTGGCACTTCACACTTGGATAAGCCAGAAGTACGAACAATGGAACAAGAAATCTAATTTCTTGTAATATGAATTATTTACAAATTATTACAACAAAAATATTAGTCGAATTATAAGTACACAACTATAATTTGAAATTTATGAATATTAATAACGGTGACACATAACTCCTTAGTTGTTAAGTGCAAATAAATAAAATTTAAATATCACAAGAATAGTGTAATAAGTCTTAACAGAGATACAGACAGTGTAAGGCATTCATTATCTGTACCAAAAAGTAGTCTTATTTATATATATGTGCTAATATCGCTTGCCTCAGTCAAAGATTAAAAAAGTTGCAATTAGCTTAAGTTATACTATCTTATAATGAATGTTTTAACAGCTTTCCTTATGCTGTAACTTCAAATTGCATAATCCTGGATTATTTTTTCCTTGACGCTTCGGCAGGTTAGCCTGTTTAATCTACTTAATCTTTGATCTACTTAACGTCCCTTACCGATGGTTCTCTAGTTTTCTTACATCATGTCCTTACTGTCTTATTTAATTTACTTAACAGCTAATACTTATTTTTCACATTAATTGTTTACTTAGGCAACAGTTCCCTATAAAACAGAAAACCTCTCCGGTTTAAACAATTACAGAATATAGTGTCTTCCCGGGTGAACGACCAAACATACACTATTTACAATAAATACAATAAAGTACTGCCTAGGGTATAGTGTCAATTGGGATGCATTTTTTATATTGAAATCTTCGATTACTATATTTTCATCTTTTTCATCTTTTTCATCTCAATCTTCGTACTTTGGTACATTAACATTTTCCATGAGACTACTGAATATTTTTTGTTTTTCGAAGAAAAATAACAAAATCTTTTAAATTTTTTTAAATAACAGTTTCCTCATTCTATATTATTCCTTTTCATAATTTTATTTTTACACTTAATTTTTTAATACTTTTAATTTCTGCATCGCCACTTTTATAAACGCGCTAAATTTATTTGATATTCTATAAATTGTACCCAGTTAAAACATATTACATATCACCTAGATATCTTGATATCATTCGATATCATATACAGAGCTTTATGAAAGAAATTGTAAAGCCCAAGGACAAAGTTTCTATTCGCCATTTTTAGTGGTGTTAGCTTTTGGTGGTATATTCTTCAAATTGTTCTGGTGTTTCCGCTTAAAATTTGTTTTTCTTTTTCCTATCACTTTGACATTTGATTATTTTATTGTATATGTATATGATTTTGACAACTTGTTAGACTGTTTATCGGTGAGCACAAAGGATCTGTTAAATTACCTTAATTCAACGGAATGAATTTTGTTGTTTTGCCCTTTTTATATTTTAAGGGTATTAAGAGTATCTCAAAGCACTAGAAATGAGGTATTGAGGTATAGTGAAAAAGCGTTATTTTTAGCGATTTGATCAAACTTTAAGTTTGTAAAGTGAAGTGAAGAGTTTTACTTCGTAATTAATGTGATTAAAATTTATTTAAGTAATTCATATGGTAATAAACTGAGAGGATAGCGTTATATATCTCGGCATCGCGTTGAACAAACGATTCACATGGCTTAAACATGTTCAACTGTAAAGAATTAGCTGTACCAAAATTCTTCATTACCCCCAACCGCTATTCAGAAATGAAAATCTCTAAGAATTGGAAACTGATAAATAACCAAATAATTCGTCCGTCACTTCTATATGGATGTGTCGCGTTTAGCAAAGCTTCAAACACTACTATTCGCCAGCTAGAAATTGCACAAGGCCAGGCTCTGAGAAGTCTTTTCAAAGTACCATGGTACATTAGGACGAATGACATCCTCAGGGGCTGTAAGATTGATTCCATCAAAAAATACATAAAGGATAGAGTCCTGAAATTATTTACGAAAAGTGACAGATTCAAATGGTTACAGGCTCGTCGGGCAAGTATGCAGAACTGTGGTCAATTATTGCTTAGTTTGATGAAGTGATAAACAATAATTCAGTCAAGGCGTAAGGAGGGGTTTTGAAAATACCTCGAGTTAAGAATGAGTAAAAGTGCTCAAGTGCACTGGCTCATATAGCTTCAATATAAATTTGCAATGTGGTATTTTCAATTGATTTACTCAATGCTTAAGTAAATAATATAGAGTATATTTATTTGTACATAACATTCGTTAGTAATATTTTTATATAAAGCTTAAAAAATATTAAAACAGTTCCCAAATCTTAATATATTTGAATTTTTTTCTTAGAAAAAAAGAATTTGAATTATAAATTTTGAAGTACTTAAAAGATATTTACGTGAGTAAACGATGATGTGGTATTTAAAAATTAAAGCGACGCGTTCGCGGTATCTTAAATTTCAGACTCCATAAAAGCACTCTTCTGGCACTTTTGTATTTAAAATGTTTCAGTCAATTTTAATAATCTTTTTATTTATATTTTTTTTTTGTTTCTCTTAAATTTTCCAAAAAATTTTGTGAAACAGCAAACACAAGCCATAATTTTCAATTCAATTATAAAAGCCATTTCATAAATGAAACGCTTTCACTGAGCCTCCGGCGAAATCTATTTTAATTTCGCCTCCCCAATGATGAGCTAAACTGCCACTCCGAACTTCAAGAAATTGTAATAATGTTCCACAGTGGTTTCCAATGTTTACGGGAATACTCGTATACTTACGTCCTCGTACATTTTGTTCATTTTTATTGCTCCATTCCCATTTTCGGTTGCTGCAAATAATTTCGATATTTCTGGTGGGGGTTAACTACCCGCCTGCTAGCATGCCAGAGGAAATCAG